AGGCGGAGGAAGAGGAGCTGTCAGCAAAGACCAGGGGATTGATCAGTTTTTCCTCCCAGATGGGTATAAAATAAGCCATCTCAGAGGACAGAAGGTGGAGATTTCATTACAACCAAGAAAGAAGCGCTAGTAGTCTGGAGTGTGTCCTTTAGACCTCAAGATCTCTGTGCACTGGACTTCCGTAATCCAGGGACACAAACCTGTGCCACGATAGAAGAAGGAGCAGAGTGGCAGGAGTGGGGCGAGCAGCGGAACCAAGAGCCAAAGCATGACACAGAGGGTTTCCCATGAAGCTAGTGAAGCTGAGTGTCTTCCAGCAGGAGGCTTGCTTATGGAGCGAAGTCAATTGCCGGAGCCTTGTTTTTGGCTGATGCGTTCAGTGCCACTTGAACTTCTTCCTTCAGCAACCTTGGTTCTGGCTCAGGTGCTCCTCCTGGAATGGTGGACTGTCGGCTGGTTCTTTCTGGTGCAGTGATTCTGTGCATTCTCTCCATCTTCTCTTGATGCTCCCCGCAGCAGTCAATATTTTGCCTAGAGAATCTTGCAAAATTGTAACTCGAGGCTTGCATTTTCTCCTGAGGTCTTTCAGTGTCAGATACGCTGAGCGTGTTCTTCCCTTTTGGTTTTCTGATTCTAGGTCCTGGCACATTTTGTTAACATTGTTGGCTTTGTCTTCTTAAGCTGCCCTTTGAAATTTTCTCTTCAGCATCCTTTCTTCCATTTGCTTTAGCTGTTCTAGAGGAGCAAGTTTAAGAGTCTCTTCTGACATCCACGTTGATCTCTTCTTTCTTTCCTGTCTTTTTTTTTAAAATCGTTTTATTAGGGGCTCATACAACTCTTATTACAACCCATACATACATCAATGGTGTAAAGCGCATTTGTACATTCATTGCCCTCATCATTCTCAAAACATTTCCTCTCCACTTAAGCCCCCAGCATCAGGTCCTCATTTTTCCCCTCCCTCCCCACTCCCCCTTCTTTCCTGTCTTTTTAATGACCTTTTGCTTCCTTCATAATTAATGTTCTCAATGTCCTCCCACGACTCATCAGGTCTTCTGTCATTAGTGTTCAATGCATCAACTCTGTTCTTGACCTTCAGGTGGGACAGACTCAAGGACCTATTTTGGCTGTTGTGGACTGGATTTCATTTCTTCAGCTTTATCCTGAACTTATTTATGAGCAATGGATGGTCCGTTCCACAGTTGGCCGTTGGTCTGGTTTTAACTGCTGATATTGAGCTTCTTCCTCATGTCTTCCCACAGACACAGCTAATTTTATTTCTATGTATTTCATCTGGGGAACTCTATGTGTATAGTCACCTTTTGTATTGTTGAAAAAAGGTATTTGCTATGAACAGGCTACTGGTTTTGCAAAATTCTATCATGTGATCCATTGCCAGCTTCATTTCTATCACCAAGTTTATTTTTTCTAACTATTGTTCTTTCCTCTTTGTTTCCAACTTTTGCATTCCAATCACCAAGAATGACCAATGCATCTTGATTGATCAATTCCAATGGAAGTAGTTGGCAAAATTCTTCAATTTCTTCATCACTAGCATTTGTGGCTGGTGCACAATACAATTACAGTTGTATTGATTGAAGTTCCTTGAAGGCAGATAGATACAGTTTGATCAAAGATAGCGTTATATTTCATGATGTATATAGCAAGATCCTTTCTGATAATGAATGCCATTCCTTTTGATTGTTCTTCCAGACCTAGTAGGCATGGTAAATCACATGGTTTTCTGATTCAAAATGGCCAACACCAGTCTATTTCACTCCTGATGCTTAAGGAATCAATTTTCATGTGTTCCATTTCATTTTTGACCACCTCCAATTTTCCTAACTTCCTACTTTGCACATGCCAAGTTCCAATCGTTAGATTTTGCAGCTGTTTCTCTTTACCTTGAGTTGTGCCCCATCAGCAAGTGAAGATCCAGGAGGCTCCACTCCCACAGGTTTACCCAACTCAGGTCTCCATGGTGGACTCCCCTCTAAGAACTCATCTCCTTTTCAGGCGAATTTCCAGTGCACTCCAACCGGAAACGTCTGTCCTCTGGCAGTATCTCTGACAATTTGCCGTTTCCTTTGTTTAGGCTTTCAGTATTTGACAGTTCATCGAAGGTACCCATAAGGTTTTCAGCGGCTTCTTTCTCCGAAGTGGAAACTGTTCACTGTGTGTGACCCTGCTGGCATTTGAAACACCAGCTTCCAGCAATGCAGCAACACACAAGCCACTACAGTGTGACAAACTGACAGACAAGTGGTGGACGTCACGATTTACAGCTTTGGAAACCCAGTGGAACAGTTTTAGTCTGTCCTACACGGTTCCTGCAGAGCCCTGTTGGCGGAGTGGCAGTGGTTACGAGTTGGGCTGCGACGCACAGTTAGCAGTTTGAAACCACCAGCCACTCCGAGGGAGAAAGGTTGGGCTTTGAATTCCCATGAACAGTGATAGCTGGGGTCTCTAGGAGTCAGCCTTGACTCCACGGCAGTGAGTTTCGTTTGGATGCAGTTCCTGTGAGTTGGACTTGACCTATGGACGTGGGTTTGCAGTTGTGTTGATCATAAACAAACCACTCTAAAGCATAGTGACTTTAAATATCACATGTGTGATTTCTCATCATTTTGTAATTTGGAAAGTTCTTCTGCTCCATATGGTGTAGCTAACAGCAACTGCTTTAAGTTGGGAGCTCAGATAGGGCTAGAACATCAGACGGAGGTCACCCACTCTCCAGAGCCTTTTTATCTCTGCAGGACCTCTTAATTCCGTAGTCAAGCCCAAGTTCCTTTACACCATGATGGTCGATGGTCGGCTTGCAAGAAGACAAAGGCTCAGGCGTGGTAAGGGTAACCGTCCACCACAGCTCTAGCTGGTCCTGTTATAACCAGAATGACTTATGGGGTTCTAACTGTTGAGTGTTTAGTGACCTAGCAGGAAAAGAATAAATAGTTCAGCCAATCAGAATCCTCTTCAGGATTTTGGAATTTGGAGACTGAAAGATTGGCTCACTTAACTAAGAGGAGCTGAATTAAAGGGCTGGCAGACTCAGGAGGTCCAGCCAATATTTGGGGACCTGGGGAAGCTGACAAGGTGTCATGGATATCCAAATGGGATATCAAATGGGCAGCTGAATATACAAGTCCGGGGCTTGGGGAAAGGCTAGAGTCAAAGAGATCTAGTTGGGAGTCACCCGCATACAGACAGAATTGGAAGCCATGGGAGTTGATGAGATCCCTCTGAGGGAGAGCATGACTAGAGAAGTTTGACTTCCCACATTGAGAGGTCAGGCGGAGGAAGAGGAGCTGTCAGCAAAGACCAGGATGGGAAGCCAGTATCCCAAAAGTCAAGAGAAGGAAAGCTCTCAAAAAGGAGACGGGCTCACTGTGTCAAGCACAGCAGAAG